TCTTCCCTGGGATTCGAACCTTGAGGAATATACCATTACCATTTGGAGAGGGTGACGACTAGACCACTTCACTAAGGTGCTACACCTCTAATACAATATTACATTATAAGTTTTATAATATTTTTTATAATATTATATTATATTTTGCACAATATTTTGCCTAGACTATAATTATTACACAATATTTCAGAGCATAATCTATAACTATATACTAAAAAAATTTGTATATAATGATAACATTTAGATTACCCATATAAATTGTGCTATTAAATTGTATAACTATAAATCGCAACATTTTTATTGGTTAGCTATCACATAGATTTTTTACTTTTACTATATACATGTAATAACGTGCATCTTTTAATGCATGCTTTGTTAATTTAAAAACTTTCCTGAAATTATATATGTGAGTATTATTTTGGGATACTTATAAGCATTATTATGTGATTTTCAAAAATAAAAATTTTTCAAACTAATACCTAGGTGATTACTATACACTTATATAGTGCAACCTTAATATAAAGGTTTACTTTAATTCCATTGGCTCCTCCATTTAGTGAATTTAGCAATTTAAATTTTTAAAATAATTACTATAAACGAAAAGCAGATATGTATTTATGCTAATATTGTTTGCTAATTTTAACTCAAACTAAATCAATTAAGAATATATAATACAAAACATGTGGTAAAGAAAAACTAATGGGTCACCTTGGTGTTGTCTTTTACGAATATTTAGGTAAAGAATATTTGGAGGTACTTGGGTCTATTTTGGGGGATTAAAATTTATTGTCAGTGTAATTGGCATGTCAAGTATGACACTATCAATTAAAGATCTTTCCCGTTTGATGCCTATTTTGAAAAATAGACATGAGGTTATATTTTAATTTTATTATCATTTTATTATATAATCATATTATTTTCACTAAAAAAGTGTATTTTTTTAATTTATTAGAAAGTGCAAAAATCTTGTATTGATCTTATAGGCTGTATTGCTAATCTTAGTGCAGAATTTGTTAGTGCAAGAGAATAGATATGCATATATTTTGAGTTATTGGATATGCTTAAAATATATAAAAAAAGTATCTGTCATACTATAGTAAACACATTTGGTTATATCACTAAGACAATTGGACCACAAAATATTTTAGCAATATTACTTAACAATTTAAAAGTTCAAGAATGTCAAAATAGAGTTTGCACTACAGTAGCTACTAGTATGTCTTGTTTTTGAATTTAATTTTTTATGCTTCAGTCTAATAATATTGCTTAATTATACTAGCTATAGTTGCCAAAACCTGCACACTATTATGGTCTTATCTGTGTTGATGAATGAATACTGTATTCCAGAGCTGAATATTCAAAATAGTGTTTTAAAGGTTTGAACTTTCTTATTTATAAGGCAATGTTGCCCAACCTAGTTGACATAATTTTTGGTTATTACAATAGTGCGATATGTTAGGGTTTGTACAAAATAACGAATAAAATTCTTTGATAAATATTTAAATGCTTGCTTAATCTTTACTTGGTAATATATTTGAAGATTTAAAATTGGCTAACAATATAAGTCAACTAGGTTAGAATATATTTATTTTAATTTCAATCTTATAATTTCAAATTCGTTGTTTTTAGTCTCTTTTATTCTTATTTAAATATATTGGTAAAATAGATAAAGATTACATTTATGCTGTAACACCGTTATTAGAAGATATTTTGATAACACCATAGTTAAATATGAGTACCTAGGTATATGCTTATAGGCAAACTTTTGTATGATTGGCTGTTCAAATCAATTTAATTTTACATTATTTATATAGTTTAAAGTACTTTTTTAAAAAAAAAACTACAAAGAATAAACAAAAAGAAGTATATAGAAAGTTTTATTAAAGTTGTAGAACTCCATTATTAAAATAATCCAAAATTTTTTTTGTTTTAGAGAAGTTAACATGATGATAACACAATTTTATCTGTCTTTAATAAGTCACTATTATGCTAACTTCTCCAAAACAAAAAAGATTTTGAATTATTTTTAATAATGGAGTTCTACAACCCTAATAAAACTTTCTATATACTTCTTTTTTGTTTATTCTTTATTTTTTTTTTAAAAAAGTACTTTAAACTGTTTAAATAATGTAAAATTAAATTGATTTAAATAGCCAATTATATAAAAGTCTGCCTGTAAGGTATATGTATAAAATCATAACATTGTTAGTTGAGTACTAATTATATTTTATGTATTCAGATATGTTACTCAGTGTTTTCAAATTGGGTTGTTAAGATGCTCTTCTACACCTTTTAAACTACGTTTGTGGTCTAATATAATTATTTAATATTATATATAGATTATTCTTTATAATAAATATTTTATACTTAACAACATGCATTTATTGAAGGTTAACTATATAGAATTTAGAAAATCTTCTCTTATTTCAAAATAATGCATATTAATTAGCATACAGGTAGACATTATTTCTCGCTAATATAGCAATAATAATATGATATAAGCTTATTGGCCTACAGCTTAGTGACTTGAATCGGTTGAGTCATAATCAGTTAACTGACCCAAACCGAATAAATTTCTGGTAACTGGTTAAGGAAGTTCTTAATTGGTTGACCTGATACAACCGGTTGGTGAGATTAATATAGTATGAAAATAACAAATTGACATAAGAAGAGAGTAAAGGATCTGAACAGTTTCATCAAGAAAAGACAAAATTAGTATAAAACTCTGAGAATTTTTGAAGGTAGTACAGTATTGATATTAATCTTAATATTAATCTTAATCGGTTAGCAACCGGTTGAACAAAATAATTCAGTTCAGTTAACCAATTAAGGAAATTTTTCTCAGTTCAAATCACTACTGCAGCTTTACTATCAGCTCTAAAATTTGAACTGAGTTATTTGCTTTATTAGTGGGCTTGGAGCCATTCATATCACCCTGAAGGGCATGTAATTAATAGAATAAGTGTTTATGTTTATACTTTGTGAACTGGTTTTGCTTAATAATTCCAATTATTAAAAATTTTACTTTTAAATTTACGAGCTAAATTAAATAGTTTATGCGAATAAAAAGGTATATAATAAAAAATAAGAATTTATGATCACAATTTTTGAACTGCTTTTTTTGATTAACTCTAATGATTAATAATGCTCTTTAGATTTATGAGCTTATTGAAATAGTTGATGCGAACAAGGAGTATAAAGGATATGTAATAAGAAATAAGTATTTGTGTTCTTGAGTTTTGAACTAATTTTGCTAATTACCTCTAATAATTGTCGTAGATCATAATGAAATCAGATTAAAATAAAACTGGGAACCTTTCTTGCTTATCTTTAAAGCTTATAAAACCCACTTATACTTT